AACCCAAGGAGGGGTCGCTATGAGTCGGGGCCGACTCGACGGCAAATAACAACAACAACAACAATCTTTATGGGAGCAGATCAACAGATCTTTTATATCGTGGAGTAGCTTGCAGGTTTGAACACTGACCTTTTGGATATTAGCAGCCCAGAGCTTAACCAGGGCTCCTTTTCAATTTAGGAGGCTAAAGTCCAAAGTCAGGGCATTGGCTCTAGGAAGGTGTTCCTCCACCCATTGAGATCCAGGAGATGTGGCTCCACCCATTGAAACCAAGATAGCCCTGCTTCTCTTTTTCCCTTGAAAAGTTGTGCTGATTTCCAAACTTCTCCAGGGTGGTCCTTTTCTTTTCTTGGGGGACAACAGATGTAGCTCCTTTGGCCTGTTTTCTTCCCTGTAGAATTCTAAGAGACACAGCTTTGTTTCCTTTCTCTGTCTTCTTCACTCTAAGCTAATGGATTTTCGGCTGCGGGTGATTAGATCTATCAGTCACAGGCACAGGCTTAATCTTTTTTTTTTTAAAAGCAAGAGAGTGTGTAGCTTTGTCCTTGGTGAACATTCTAGAACACATATCCTGAGCTTGTATGGTAGAATTTTCAAAACCTTTTAAGTTTTGTTTACACAGTTTTCTTTACACAGTTCATTTTTAAGTCCATCTCTCCTTTCATGTTTTACTATAAGCAGCAAGGAGAGAATATGTGGCCCCATTAAGATCTTACTTCTTGTTGTTATCCTTATATGCCATTGAGTCTTTTCTTCATTTCCTGTCTTTTAAATGACCTTTTGCTTTCTTTGTGGATGATGTTCTTGATGTCATTTCACAATTCCTCTGGTTGGTCACTGGTGTTCAGTGGATCAGATCTTTCCTTTAGATGGTCTCTAAATTCAGGAGCGATATAATCAAGGTCCTGTTTGGCTCTCGTGGACTTCCTTTAACTGTCTTCAGGTTCACCTTGAACTTGCATATGAGCAGTTGATGGTCTGTTCCACAATCAGCTCCTGGCCTTGTTTTGGCTGAAGATACTTAGTTTCTCTATTGCCTCTTGCCACAGATACAGTCAGTCTGATTCCTGTGTACTCACATCTGGTGAAGTCTACGTGTATAGTCACTGTTTGTGTTGTTGAAAAAAGGTATTTGTGAGAGGTTCCGGCAAGGTGGTGGACTAGGCAGAAGGACTGCACAGACGCTCTTCAACAAAGAAAAGGGAAACCAATTAACACAGACACAGAAAATAATCTTGGACCCCTGAGCCTTGAAGGGAAGGATACAAAAGTGGACTAAACCCCAACTAGCAGAAGAATTTGCATGAAAATACCAAAAAAGGAGA